ARRAAAWTKSMAARKTTWWYMAAMYTTTTTWAAARSCSWTTTTTTGTTATATGTATCAGGATAACCCTGGTCTACCCTTCCAATATGTTCGAGGACTTATTTGATGTGGATGTGGTCGGAAGGAGAGAAGGATGAGAACAMGGCTTGTGAGTGTCAAAGACCTACCATTGATATAAGTATAACAGGCCCAACAAACGTCCAAATAAGTCCGTTTGAGAATGAAACCCAGCAGCTAAAACATAAATAGTGCACTATGTGAACGACTGAAGATATAAATAAAGAAAAGAAAGGAAGGAATTGAAGAGAAAGGATGGAAAGAGAAAGAAATCGAACATCTAATTTGACATGGTGCAAAAATAAAACGCGCAAGCGCTACAACATCGCACGCTTTGCGCGCTAATTTTGTTGCCTCTTTGAACCAGCAAACTTGACTGGACTTCTACATACACCACGTTTTAAAAACTTACAATTTCTGATTTGTGTAGCTGCTAATGCCGTCTTCAAAGGTTGAAGCAACGATAAGAGATATTATGACAAACACTGAAGGAAACCCTGCAAATATGTAATTCATTTAAGTAAACTTAAACTGTTTTAAATAGACTTAAAACAGTTGGTTCTTGCCGGGTATCATTCGATCTCTGCGTTATAGACCCCTTGCAGTTCATGGGAATGCAGCTCCAACTGGAGGACAAAACAATAGATTCTAGTTCCCAAGGATAAAAATCTTTTGTTTTGTCCTCCAGATGAAGCTGTTTTGACGTCACATGCAAGGGGTCTATAGTCTAGATGGTTCTACAATCATTTTCATTTGACTGCGAAAGCTTGAATGTACATCAAAAATTGGAAAATTGTAGTTCGAAAGTGCGTATATCTTACCCCAAGCAAAGAGATAATACAGCTTCATTTTGATGACAGTATTAAACACTTTAACGACCATCAAGTACAGGTAAACGCCCTCTAACATCATCCAACCAAACGCTACCAGATAGAAATAGTGCAGCATGACGGCTACAAATGTACAAACTCCCGAGTTAGACGTGGCTGTTATTCCTGACAAGAAAAAGATCTGCGCCACGGCGAGAGATATCGCCAAGTTYACTCGTATTTGGCATTGTTCTTGTTTCATGTTCCTAAAAGTCAAAAATTAAGTCAAGAGAGTTTGACCAGTGATGAATGTATCTGTTTATCCTGTTTCCCTTTCTGCCCTTTTTTCATTTACATCACGGACCATTTCCTATATCTATTAATTCTCTTTTTGCATCCAATCGACAATCCCTAATATTTCATCTTTTAGGTTGTATACAGGAGGGGGGGGGGGGGCTTTTCTCCCTTTTTGCCCTCATGTGATGGGCAGAGCTTTCTTTTTGGAGGGTCTCAATGGGGTGGTCACGACTCACGGCTAGAAATTTGGCGATTTCACGACTCACGACTATTTTTTTCGAATCACGGTTAACTAGATTACTTTTAGAAATTTTTGAATTACGTTTTTTCATTGCTTTTACTTTTTTCATATGAATAGACTGCGTGACTTATTCTTACGGACATGGATTTTTCTATTTCAAATAAGCCGAAATGCGACTATCATGGACTATTTCCACGAAAAAATGATTAATCATAAATTCATAATACACAAAAAAAAATCCAAAAAGTGTTAAACATAGCAGGTATTGAGAACATAGTAGTGACATTGCTGCAGTCCGTGTCTGACATCGGAGTTTACGAATTCATTAAATGTCGCTTTTCGCGATGATGTATTCTATGCCGGGCTAAATGTGCGTGGTAAAATCAGGAAGTTTGTAGTGTATTCATATTATTATTTGACCCTAAACAAAATTATGGTATTTTAAAATCGATATCTTATATAATTACTTTAAAATGTCAGATATATACCATGTCCGTACGAATAGCAAACATAACTCGGACACTCTGTTTAAAAATTGTTCTCGGTTGCGCAATCGCCGCGCTGTGAAAACTTATTATACGTTTAATGAAAACAAGCCAATGAAAGCGCGCTTTAAAATATCACATTATAGAAAATATATAGAAGTAATTACTAAATGATTCTGCAGATTTTGCAATTAAACATTAATGCATAGGAAGCTAATTCAAAGACAACAACAAAAAGCAAAAAAAAAAAAAAGAAATATGAAAAAAGAAAGAACTTGAGTATTGCGATTCGAACCCATGACCATAAAATCGAAAAAAGGTTGGGACGATTCCCCCGAGACATTCTGTGAAGCTGAGGCGGCGAATCGATTTACATTCCGGTTAGAGATTTCGGCTCTTCCATGCTATCCCGATAATTGGTCCTAACTTCGCGCTAACTAAAAAGCCAGTGAGGGAGAAGCTATCCGGCCCCTAGACACTGATGGATAACCCCTTGCACTAACTAGGCAACTATCGAAAGTATAATGTCAAATTGGGGTAGTCTATTCGGTGAAAGTGTCAAGTGGTCTATTATTATGTAAATGAAAGTGATCCAGTGGCGCACCGCGTTAAGGCGCCGCTGGCAAATCCAATGTAGGTTTGACGGTAGCGGGATCGATTCCCTGGAGGAGACGTTTAATGATTTCGTTTTTTCCTTTTTATTTACTTTATTGTTTATCTTTTTTTTATTTATTTATTTTTGCATAATCATTGTCATCTCTTGTGTTTCACTTTCCCGAGAACCGTCTTTTTTTTACGAAGTGGATATATGATCGGCTCCCGTTCAAAGTCTTCGATGTACTAACATACWAAATGAGTGCTAGTTTTGTTTTGGCAAAAAAATCTTTTATATCTTTATTAGCAATCTAAAAAAAGATGTCTATTCATATTATAACGTTCTATTTCGAGCAGCTTTAGCTTCTTGTCGCACTTAGCGTGACGCAGGCTCCCGCTCAATTAAGGTTTCGATGCACTAAATGAGCGGGAGTTTTAAAATCTACAAAACAAATCCCCAAAATACTATCTAAGAATTAAAAAATATTTTATAACTTTATTAGCAATCTAAAAAAAGATGTCGATTCAATATTGTAACGTTCTATGTCGAGCAGCTTTAGTTTCTTGCCACATTAAAAAAAAAAACAAAAAACAAAAAGACAAACAAACAAACAAACAAACAAAAACAAAAAAATTCAAGCGCGCGCCTGCATCGGAGTTGACTGTTCTTCTGAGGGGCAAAACTGAATCACGGCTGACGCTATAAAAAAATATTCACGCTAGTTTTTTCGCATTTTCACGACTAACGGCTAATTTTTCAGCCGTTTCACGGCTCACGGTTAACCCTATTAGAGAGTTTTAGCATCACGTTAACGGTAAACGGCTAACGGCAGAGCTGAACCAATGACCTAAGAATTTCGTGCCTGACCTTGTGCTTTTGGTAGTCATTTGAAAGAGCGGCTTTTCACAATTATGGCAACCTCAAAATAACCCGCTCTCGCGTTGAAACTGCAACGTTAAACTCAAAAAAAGTAGGTCACGTGATCTTTTCTGCCGTTTGGCGTTTGCCGTGAACGTCATGCTAAACCTCTCTATTGAGACCCTCTTTTTGCCTACGCCATGACTACAAAAGACGGCTTTATCAGTACTAGTCGTACTACTTACATGAGAAAAGCGTAAGCCAACACTGTAAGAGCCTCACCAACAAGAGACAAAGTACAGCCAACGTATGTAATGTAGCTCAACACGACCTCGTTTGTACTGTTCGCTTCCTACAATATATATAGCAAATATATTCGTTATGAGCCAAGGCGTTTTATATGTAATATRTACAATATGAGCGGGCGATCTGTATGTAATATACAACTCTCTTCATGGGCTATGATTTCTATTGTGTTTTGCCTTATGAATATTAATGAGTTTTATAAATCATGAAAACAGCCAGTCATTATACTGACTCGTATCCGGGCATTGCTCGGTCTTTATAGCTAAGCTCAAAGAGGTTGACGGGATGATGATTTTAATTTTCCCTTAATCATTACAACTGATGATGTATTTAAAGTGTTGTTACTCACCGAGTTGGTTGTGGCATCAACCTGCATGAGTAAAGCAAAGCTTGTCAAGTGGTTACATGTGCACACTGTACTGGTTTGATTCGTCTTGAYCAATGTACATCCATCGGTTGACCAATCTCCCCCAAGGTAGTTACTGAGAATATAGATTTGGATACTGATTATTAATTCTTGAGCTGCTAGTCCAGTGAAAGTTAACAATAAGGTCACGTGAGGAAATACCAAATCAGGCAACCAATCTGCACCATCATCGGCTCCTTATTTTCAAGGATGGGAGGGGACTAGGACAAAATTATAATGGCGGCGACATGTTGAAAAGCAATTTCTCTGCAAATTCTGTAAGTTGTAGCCATTTTAAAGCACTAAAAGGTGGAAAAAACTTGAAAATTTTTTTTAACGTACTTCCATATAAGGTAAGATTACCATATATGGTCAGCAAAAGTTTGGCAAACGAATGAATTTTTCTCCGAAGCAATTGTTTGATATTGACTAAAATATCGTGAAAACGAACCGAGCCAAATAGTACTTTAATAGTTCAAGATTCCTATAGCTTACTCGATACTGATRTCCCAGAACACACACGTTGGTTTCACCTTGGAAGCTTGCTGTAATAAAGAACAAATGATCACTAGTTGAAAGAAGTGCTTCATAGTAGTCAATTACACGATTCGGCTTTTAAAATACCTTAAAATGTTCCAAAACAATAGTCACGTTTTCTTTCAAGAGGTTTTCAGGATTTGGGTCCAGTGTACTCGATATCACAGGGCTTATGAYTTCTTTATCGCGATTATTTTTATCYCTGGGAATGAAATYAGTTGAGTTACTCCTGATTGCAAGAAGGTTGTCATGCCAATAAGAAATAAGAAAATAAACTCTTAAAATTTACGAATACAAATATCTTTTAGCCACTTCATTTATTTTTATCTCAAAGGATCAATATTGTCTAGTTTTTGTGTTTGTGTTTTTTTAAATCTTTGAACGCGAAATAAAAGATCAGCTGAGTTCTTCGCAAAAATTTAGATATTGGGGTTCCTGTGGTGAAGCCATTCCGGCGTGCTGCTGTTCCTGTCAAACACGGCCTTTCTGAGTGAATGGAATCGACTCGTTATTTGGTTTTACAAGAGCTATCACACATGAACTAACATCCAGAACATTCATTGGACGGCTTAAGGTAAGTTTTTATACGCTTTTTTATTAAATTCATTTAGTTTAAATGTATATTTGTGCAATGTTTTCAAACTGCCCTCGAAACGTACGGCCATTGCAGAATTTTCACGTGTCAAATTTGCATTCAGCTGTCTTGCGCAATGTGACTAGTTTGCTTTGTTTCAATAAACTAAGTGAAACCTTGGTGATTTTGATACAAGAAAATAAAAAAATAAGTCCTTACAATTCATAAATTTGTGGACGATTTCTCTAGTGTCTGGTCTGTTGTCGTATTTCTATTTCGCGCCGTATGTAAATTATTAACTAAAATGTCAACATACCTTGTCAGCGGAATAAAATCTGTCACTTCAGTAAAAAGCGCATTAACAACCATTTTATCTGGTTAAGAAAAGAATTTCGTGGACTTAATAAATGATAAACTGTCAGAAAAAACAATAACAACAACAAAAAAACGAAACGGATTTACATTCTCCTCCATTTCGGTAAATTATTTGACTCCCGGACATATARTTTTTCGTGACATTCTGTCCGGGAGTTCGTCCAGAGACATGAAAAAACCTAAGTGCCACGTCGATTGTATGCTATGCCGAGCGGCGAAGAAGCTTTTAATTCTCAACTGGATTTCGTCAAAAGGAAGATTATCTACACCTAAATACAGTAAAGTATCTTTGATTAGACTGGATTTACATTCTACTGTGATTTCGAGGGTCCCGCACATATAGACACTGCGAGAAAAAAACACAAACTTTACATATAAAGTTAAGGGTGGAAACGCTGCAAAAAATTCCAMACCAGCTTGTATTAATTTGGTCAAAAAAAACATTTCTAAGTATAAAATGTCCTTATGGCATCTGCTGTCTTTACCTTGTCCATCAAATAACGAGTCGGGAAGATCTATGGTCGTCTTCCCACCTTTACGTTCGGTTCKGTTTGCGTTATTGTATGGAAAGACTATTCTTTGCTTACTGGAAACTTTGCGCATCTCAAATACTGTTGACAAAAATCATATGTTAGTTGTCTTGGTATGGGATTAATGGGGTATTATTAATGCTGGGGTAACTCACCAAGTCCTTCACTTTTGTTCACCATTCGAGTGATTTTGAGACTTTTCAAGTGATGTTTTGCATATTCCATTCCGAATTTTTCCATCRTTAAGGCAGCTTTCATGATATTCCCTTTGACTTTTTTTCTCGTTTTWAGGATTTTTATAAGTTCTGAAGTCAGCTTTAGCATTGACTGTTGAAAAAAATTAATAAATTCATAAAAAATTATTATCTATCAATCCACCAGTCGTCAGCCTGTCAATCAATCAATCATCCTCTGGATTGACCAATCACATACATTTATTGAATTYTTATCTCCGGCTTTCATTTTCTTTGCCTTTGCAACATACTTGTCAACCTGTGAAGTCAAAACCAAAAGTCAAAACAATTCCCCTCAAGTTTCTGGCTTGTTTTGGAACTGCAGAACCTGGTAAAATGATCAAAAAGACATGATATACCTCAGTGTCGACAAAACTCTTTAGTCCTCCAGTCATTTTTTTCGTTGTTGTTGGTTTGTTGGTATAAGCCGTTACCTTGGTTTTTGGTTTCTTGGTCTTTGGTGTGGTTGGYTGTGTAACTTTGAAATAAATTAGTAAGTTATAAATAGAATAATTGTGTTCAGTGGCAGAACTGAAACTGATGAACTGGCCTTTTTTTCAATATGTATTATTTTCAGTTTTTACTTTAGWACTTCCTGGATTGGGATTCCTGTGCTGACTTTTCTTTAAAAAAAAAATAATTTGCCACAGGAACCCCAAAGAGACCAAAACAAATGTGCTTGCTTRTTATGTCCTGCAAGTCTTTGAGGCATGACAGCAGCGAGTAAGTAATAGTTTACAAGMATTCTCTGTGAATTGAATRGAAGCAACWCAAAATCATAAAATACTTACCCTTTGTGTTCGGAATCTGACAAATATACTTCTCWGTTGTACTACAGTGAAATGGCTGCAGCATGGCGGAGTTAGTAACTGCATAACAAACTTCTTTTTTCAAAGTTGAAACATTAACAATGCCACGGATTCCATCATCAATCTTCACTTTCTGCCCATTATCCCACATTAGAGTCCCTGAAATGTCCCTTCTAAGTCCAACCCAATAGAAAAACATGCCATGAATTGTGTTGTTTGGTATTTCTTTCTTTATTTTGGCTAGCACTGTTTTGTTGGTTGATCTGGCCAGGCAGCCATGGCTGTCTAAAAGACAATTTCTGGCAGCCCTGTGCCATGTTGGGTTACCACTGTATACTGCTGTATAAGAGTAGGTGTCTGATTTATCGCTACAGTAATCAGTCTGAGCTTTACCTGTCAAAACATCAATCAATCAATCAATCAATCAGTCCGTCCGTCCATCAATCAATCAATCAGTCCGTCCGTCCGTCCATCAATCAATTAATCAATCTTACAGTCAATCATC